AAAACTCAAGATTCAAGTTAGATAACAGTGGAATGAGTGACTTGATAATTTCAGCATGAAGTAGGGATATTTGCATCTAAAATATCTAAGTAACTACACACACCCTGTCTTATAATCATAAACCTCTTTGAAGAGCCTTTAATGCTTTGGAAGTTTTATTGTAAGATAAAGAGTTGTGACTAGCAAAAATAAAATCAAAGGTAATTTTAGAAAAAGAGTTTATTTTGGCCTTAGAAAGTATTATATTTTTATTTTGTGTGATATCAGGGTGAGCATTGAATTGGCTTGCTTACCACAAATTCCAGAGTCAAGCTTATTACCCTACTTTGTTTTCAAGCTCCATCTGCCTTTCCTTCACCCTCAAATACTGAGTTCCCAGGGGTTAACCCTTGTCTTGCACTGAGATCACCACATTAGAAAGAATAAATCATAGAGTCTTGTAAAAATGCCTTATTATTTGCTGAACACCTAAAGGCAGGAGAACATCCTGTGACCGCTGTCCACAGAGCGTGAGCCTGTTCAGCAGTTCTGCATTGGTTAACGAAGACCGTAAACGATCACTAAAGCTGTCCCTGAGAAGGAACTCTGGGTCTCGTGGGACTGTTGTTTTTGGCTTGCCATTTGCTGTGTTATGAATGGCCAGGCAGGTAGGGCAGGGATCCATGCTGATTCTATAAAGTGCTGTGTTGACTGGTGCTATCACAGTAATGATGATGATGTGTGATGGATAATTATACATGAAACACTGAACTTCTTCTCTTACGTAGAAGACGCCTGCAATGGATTACTTATCTCTGTCCTTTCTAGTTTTGCATTGAGAAATCTAAAAGATTCAGGATTCATTTTCAGCTGTATAAGCTTTACTTATTAGTTATGCTTAAATTAGATGTTAAATAATAGTTGCTGCTAAAGGAAAGCTTGCTTTGCTGATCACTCTTCTAATTTCTTTCTATTGACTCTGCCATGAATATAATTTCATTGCTTCAAACTATTTCTCTGCTACTTACAGATAGTCATTCATTTATAAAACATGAACTAAATTCTTGAGTTGAAATAAGTAAATAAAGTGTAAAATAGTACACAGTATGAGTAAGAAAATTTTTGTCACTTGTAACTCAAATATTGTGGCTCTGACTTCTTGAAAGGGCATTTGTGCATGCTAAAGAACATTGACATCAGATATACATCTCTATTTTTTATGTGCTAATAATATCTTCATCTTTTGGAACTTCATTTCTTTATTTTGTGGATGTTAGTATCAAAATGTCACTCTTTCTTCCTAGCATAGTATAAATGAAATGTGAGATTTTTACCTGCAGGTTTAATGTGTCACTCTAAATACTTTGAAGAACTCCATATAATTCTAATCATGCACGTGATTCATATTTGAAAAATGTCTAACCAAAATATTCTTTTAAAATGTTACCGTGCGCAGAAAAATGTACTCATATTAAATAGAAAAGACCAGGTAATCCCCCTGCTGAAAGAATTTTCTTCCGTGCCCAAGAACTTACTTTTCTGCATAGTTTTTATTTAACTGAATTCTTCTCTGCGTTTTTGCTTAATGGTTTCTTATGTTCAAGCTAATTATAGAAATTACATGCAAAGTGATATGTATTTTATTATCTAAGATGAACTCAGGTTCTGCTTTTGGACATTGCTTATTTATAAAACTAAATTTACCTTTATTAACTGTGCTTAAAATTAATAAAATAAAAAGAGTGGTTAAAGAAATGAGGATTATCATAAATTACTCTTTAACATAATGCAGTTTTAACAAAAATGAGTTTTATATGTTGAAAATGTCTGTAGAAAGGAATAAAAAAATTCTTAAAAGCCTTAGTATATCTTACTAATTTTTTTCTATATCTAATTCATTTACAGGGGAAACAAGCTAATTATTGATTAAACATGTTAATCACCTTTTATTATTCAAGCTAAGCATTTCCCCTGCAAAAATTTACATTGTCCCAGAAAATTCATTTTAATAGAATGACTGGTTAGATATGTTAAATAAATAGAAGGTTTTACCATGTGTATTTTGAATATGAGAATGATTTAGTAATTATCACCAAATGTACAAGGTAGGTGCTATACTATGTTTTTCTTAGGGTACAGAATAAAATCTATTGTGTAACAATGTTAGCAAAGAAAGATCTAGGTTGATGTCAATTCTTTATGGCTTAATCAGGTCAGAATTTTTGTGACTATTGGCAAAATGTATAACAGGACTCTCAGAGCAAAAAAGATTCAATCACAGAATTTTAGAAATTAGAACAAACCTTACAGAATCTGTCTAGTTCTACTCTACAATTTTATAGAAGAGGGTAGAAACAATGTAATCATTATAAAATGTTATAAAAATAACAGAAGAATTTACTACTTATTAAGTACCTTTGATGTGCTTCTGGAGCGTATTGGCAATCTCTTCCTAAAGATCTTTAGTAATATGATAAATTGCTGGCTTTAATTTATTATGTATTTGTATAAACATTAATATATACTACATGGCATCTTGAGGTCCAATTCCTACATCTGATAAGTGATTTTCTGATGTGGCCTTTTCGATGACAACATTTACTAAAGGACATGAATTGGTTGTTATTCGTGGGCTCCCACAATATTTCTCCATCATTTAAAAATCACTGCTTACAGTATCGGCAAAGGTTTCACCCAGGTGGCAATACATGATTTCCCCAAGGGCCATCTCCTTATGTTTATCAACAGAAATATGTGAACGGGTTTGGCTATGGTTTGTCTTTCCAGCTGTGAGCCTAAAAGTTATAGTGCTGTTGGACATGTAGACAGTTAAATGGAAAAGAAAGTGGGAGCAAGAAAGAAGAGGTGCCCACTACCGAAGATCCTACTGTGCAATTTGTTTGTCTGCCCTCCGTATCCAATTGCCAGGGTTTATATAAGATTCACTAATCAACCAGGAGCTCAGTGGCTGTGACCGTTGCAACGTCTTTTAAATAAAATGCTTCCTTGACTGCACTGTGGTATAGCTGCACCCGCCACAGAATAAATGCATTCATTCGTCCGCTGAGAAAGTCATTTTTTCCTTCCTTGCAGTAGCAGCAATTTTCCTCTTCAAAAATAAAGCAAAATACAGCTTTTAAGATTGGGCTCTTGAACGATAGTCACATCTCTCTATCGAAAGCCAGGAGTTAGCCTCAATGTTGTTGAATTCATTCTCAGGTTTCATTAGAGAAAGGTTACTGTTAGAAGGATAACCAAACACAGGATTTCAGTTGCTGAATTTTGTCTTTAATTTTTCAGATGAAAAGTAGAACAGAAAGCCTTGCCACTTCCAGCTCCGCCTCAATACTCCCATATACTTTGTAAAATTCTGTATGTTGAATTAAATAATTTCTCAGGATCATTATTATTTATTTCTGTTGCTACATTTCAAACCTCAAATTAACAAGATTAATATCAAAACATTATACAACACTAGGTAAAATGTCAGACTGATGCCATAGTAATCAATTTTAAAAATGAGACTACAAATCGGAATCTATTATGATCGTCATATTTATGATTGTATGAATAAAGTTATTCATTCCAGAACGTTAACAAGATGTCTTTCATGTATCATTAAAATAACATGTCAAATACTTGGCTAAATTATTGAGGTACTTTCAATATTAATAATTTCATACAAATGTCTGGCAAGAATAACCAATCAAAATTAATTGATGATCAATTAGGATAGATTATTTCTCTCAGCTCTCATTTGCTTTCCTAATAACCAACTTGCTTCCTTCTAAAATAGGTCAATAAGAAATAAGTCCTAGTCACTTATGCTCCTATTTTTTAATAAACCAACACTGTTTAAAGAAATGAGTAATTCTCTTGTAAGTTATTAATCCTTACGGATATTATAAATCATGTTTTCATCCTTTCAATTTGATATGCTCATTTTAGCTTTAATTATTGCGTACTAATACGATAATACTGCAGTAATTTTATTAGTTCTACTTCTAATACATTTTGTAAAAATTGATTTATTCTAAAATTAATCATATTTGACTTCACAGTACAAACATCTCTCTCATTAGTACAGTATCGATTAGAGAAAACTTATTTTCAAGATGATTAGCTAAAAGTATGAAAGGGGACATTAACATCTTTAATTTTTTAATTATTTTGTACTCTGGTTTAGATTTTTGGTACACAAATCTCCCGTTAGTTTGGGCTAGAATCCAAGAGATTCAGAATCAAACTCTTTGATTTTTCTTCTAGAGGAGGATATAATATTAGCAAAAGTCATATTATGCAGCAAGCCCTAGTAAAGAACACAGATCTGAAATGTCAAGTGAGAATTAAACCTTTGAGTCTCAGGCATGTGGAAGAGATGCTGGGTTTCTGACAAAGGGTTAAGCTCTTCCATGGTTACTATGTTTGAGAAAGGTCATTTCCTTTATGTATTTGTAGAATTTACTACTTCAGTTAGCAATTACAAAGTTACAGATGAATATTAAAATAGAAAAAAATGTGAAAATGACTGCAGAATAAAGCTAAGTGGAATCATTATGCTGAAAACACAATTATTTTTTTGAAAATTCTACCAACCAATTATTCTTAATGTTGAGTTTAACTTAGTTAGGGTCAATTTTTTTCTCACCTACATTATTGAAAAGTAACATGTGTATATTTTCCTAATAGCTTTGATTTCATAGCTTGTGTTCCTACTCAAATTATTTCTATGGACCTTAGTAAGTTAAATAAATGGTAAGCTTAGAAAAGCATGCCATTTTTTAAAAGCATTTTCTACATCTAAATATTCTCCCCATTTAAAAATGGAATTGGAGGGGTGGCCTTTGGCCAAGTGGTTAAGTTTGTGCACTCTGCTTTCGAGGCCTGGAGTTTCGCTGGTTGGGATCCTGGGAGCGGACATGGCACCGCTCGCCAGGCCATGCTGAGGTGGCATCCCACATGCCACAACTAGAAGGACCCACAACTAAAATATACAACTATGTACTGGGGGGATTTGGGGAGAAAAAGCAGGAAAAAAAAGAAGATTGGCAACAGTTGTTAGCTCAGGTGCCAATCTTTAAGAAAAAAATGGAATTGGAGTCTATTTGCTTAGATAATAACTATCTTTTCAGTAGCCCTGTGTATAAAGTATGAATTAGAGACTTTGCATAAGATAATGACAGCAGCAGCAGCCGCTAATATATATGTGGTATTCTTGTTCTGCAGTTATGATGCTTAGTGCTTTATATGTTCTATCTTATTAATCCTCACACCCCTGAGGAAGATAAATACAGTAGAGGAAAGAAGGAAGACTCACAGGGTAAGAAACTTGCTTAATTCACACAGCTAATAAGTGGCCAACCTGGTTGGGACTTACACCAGATCTGTTCATTTCTAGAGCTTACTACACTACCTTTCCAATTGGAATAGGATAGAATAGAATAGAATACAACACAATACAATACAATAAGAGAGCCTGTGTCTGATAGAGTTTAGAACCATACTTATATTGCTATAAAGAAGAAATGTCAAAACTCTGGTCTCTACCAGAAACAAAAGATTTGAAGAGATGTATTGTAAACTCTGAAAGGCTTCCCCATAACCACTCCCTAATTTGATCAGATTCAACCAGTTAGGAGAGGTGAAAAGTGCAAGAAAGAGCTAAGAGAGCTTAGAGAATGTGTGTCCCTGGGAAGGGGATGTTGACAAAACCAAAGACAGGTTGGGGATCCAGGATCAAGAGGACCTGAGCCTCATGCCTAGATAGAGACTGGAGAAGCAGTAAGGCCCCAGGGAAGAACTAGCTGTGAGGTGGCAAAGTAAATAGATTCAGTGGAGAAGGGCTCAACAGTTTCCCTTGCCTCTCTGCATGAATGGAGAAGGATGCCCAGAGGGAGAAGTCCTTGACAGCCCTCCCAGAGCCCAGCAACTTGGGAGCAGCACGCTGATGCCAGGGCACCTTGAAAGAAGCACTGAAATTGTAGAGAGCGCCGTGGACCTAAAGGAACCTTGCAGATGGGCCCAAAGGGACACTCCTTGCAACTGTGTGGCCCTGCAACTAAGGAGCAGGCAAGACAGTAGCCATCTTAGCAGATATCACTGGAGGTAGAAATTGCTGGAGCCTGGGACCCCTCCCAGAGGCAGTGACACTATATGAGACTGCCACTCGAGGGAAGAGGACAAACCTGAATTGTCTGATCACCACACAATGAAATTTTAAAACTTACTAGAAATATGTAGACCCTGTTCACATAAATGGAATCTTTAAGTAGAAGCTATAATGAAGATTGTTTTTTTCTTCCTACTGGTAACCTAAGTGTTCCAACCCTAGATTAAAGAGCTTACTTGATTTCATTCTTTTATTATTTAACTGGTGACAATATCAGCCTGAGGATTTTAAATATTCTGTCAATTGAGGAAAAATTACTGCAATTTAAACAGCAGATATTTATTTGGGAAATTAGAATTGCAATTTGGGAGACAAAGATTCAGGTAGAAACCCAAACGTGTTCCACTAGGGAGTAAAAATCAGAGACTTTTAAAGGTAAAGAAGGGAGGTCGTTTGACAGAGAATTTTAATTGGAGTTGGCAGCATACGGTTAGTCTTGGCTTAACATTGATTGACTATTGATTCTATCTTCACAAAGTCCACAATCATCAGACTTTGTGATCAGGATGTCATTCTCCTGCTGACTTCTCAAACAATTGCTTGTAAAACAATTGCCATTTTGGCCCAGTCCAAGTTTCAAGACAGCAAGGCAGTTTCTCTGGAAGGGCAGCTTTGACTCCATTTTAAAATGGCTGCACTAAAGTCAATTTTGACAATTCATTTTGCCAATTTTGTGGCGCAGGGAGAAGGTTTCTGATTATTCTCGTTTGCCCACCTCCATCAGCCATTCACTGTCTTTGCCCTGCTCTGTGCTGTGGAGGCTGACCTCTGTGACAGGCATCTCCCAGGCTCCTTTGCTGCTGGCTTCTGGCTGGTTCAACCAATGGGAGGCACTGGCAGTAGCTGGAGAATGGGGGCACAGAGGGACTGGTGTTTCTTCCTAATTCCCTCCTGTTTTGAGTAGAGGTTGTACCCTTTCCAGGCTCAGCCTCTTTTCCAAGTTTCCAACTGCCGCTGGGCTTCAGTAGCATCATTTCTCTCTTTGCCCTGTTAACCTAAAAAGGAAGAACTAAAATGAGAGGCAGAGAGGCATTTAATTTAGGATCAAAGAAAGGTAATTAGGGGTATACAGATTCAAGTAGCAGCTCAAATAGTGTCCCACTAGGGAGTAAGGGGCAGGGACTTTTAAAGGCAAAAGGCAGAGGTTTGCATTACAAAGAATGTTTATTGGAGTTGGGGCAGAAGGCTAATCTTGGCTAAACATAATTGATCGCTAAGACTAGCTAGAGGAAGGCAAAAGTTCGTCCCTGTGACGAGTAGCAAGTTTCTTGTAGCATTCTCTACAAGAGTATTCGTGTCTTGACTCCGTTCGAAAGTTCAGGCTCTGCCCATGAGTACGTGCATAAGATCCATTTCCTTAATGGCTTCCCGGCTTCATTTTAAAGCCCTTTGACACAAGCGACCCCGTTTAATTTCACATTTCACAGCCCCCTCGTGTGTAAGGGCACCAGTGGCTTCCCCCTGTTGTTGGACACTGGGTACTTCATCATACCTTGTTGTTGCCCTTCTCTCTGCTCACATCCCAGGGAAGAGGCCCTTCGTTAGAGACTGTTGAATCTTCTGAGTTGGATTCTCTTTTCTGTGGGTATCCTGACTGATTAAAAACAGGTGTTATTATTTTTTTAATCTCCAATTTAGAGTGACTTGGTGGGACCTAACAGAGATTCGGGTGGGAACTAAAGCTCCTGTAAACCACTCCTCGGAATGGTCTGGGCATATAGTTGTGAACAAACCAGACATGATTCCTGACCTGACAGGACTTCTATCTAGAGTGAAATTTCTAACGTTTCCTCGTTTCTCGAAATGTGATCCTGCCCCAGATGTGCCTGGTGTGTTTGTTCAAAGCTGATGCCAGGCCTCACCTGACCTCCTGATTTCCTTTCCACATGGACATTGATATTGAAACTTCTTGTTGTAGCACAACCATTTTTTCAAATGTATAAAGTAAATAATTCAGCATTTGATAAGTATAAAATTATTTTAGGACATTTAAAAACATTTTCATAGTATTATGTTGATTAAAGATAACAAAAAATTAATATTTGGATATTATGATTACAAGCTGTGGTCATAAAGTACTTTAAATATTTACATTTGGGGGGGATTACAAAATGTTGAGAAAATTTGGATTCACACAAACTAGTACATAATGGAAATTGTACTATTTTTCAACCATACAATCTCAGGGTGCTCTTTATTTAATTAAACAGTGACAGCAGAAGTAACTTCACTCTGTGACATCTTAGGAAAATCTAGATAACTTGCATACATGGTAACAGGTAGGTAAGTCGCCAAGTTGGGTTTTTTAAATGGTAGTGTTAAAAAATAATTGGAAAAAATGTGTTTTTTTCCTCAAAATGTCACATCTTCCTAATTCTTTTTTCTTTTTAAAGATTGGCACCTGGGTTAACAATTGTTGCCAATCTTCCTTTTTTTTTTTTTTAAGGATTGGCACCTGGGCTAACAACTGTTGCCAATCTTTTTTTTTTTTTTTCTGCTTTATTTCCCAAAGCCCCCCGGTACATAGTTGTATATCTTAGTTGCAGGTCCTTCTAGTTGTGGGATGTGGGACGCCGCTTCAACGTGGCCTGACGAGCGGTGCCATGTCAGCACCCAGGATCCCAACCCTGGGCCGCCACAGCGCAGTGCGCGAACTTAACCACTCGGCCACGGAGCCGGGCCCGAAAAATGTTTAAAAGGTGAAATTTGAATCAAATATTTCTGAAGTACTTCTGTGGAACCCCAGAGTCAGTGAGGGGCACTACTTGAAAGCTACCATACTGGGCATTGTGTCAGACTTTGCTCTGTCTACTTAATATAAAATAGTGATTTAGCGATACTTTTGTTAAGTGGATTAATAGAGCCAGCAGATTTAGATTAAAGCAAATGCATTGTGTTTTTCTCTGGGCAATTAACTTAGTAATCAATAACTTAAATCACTCAGTAAAAAAATTAAGCTCTTAATACAGGGATAGTGTATGAGGCTAAAACTAATAGAAAAGACTTGTCTAAATATTTTAAGTTCTTATTACGGCAAATATTAAACCTAATTCAAAGTAAAGAGAATAATTTAATGAATTCTCATGAACTCATCACCTAGCTTCAAAACTATCAAATCATAAGCAGTCTTTGTTCACCTGAGTTGTCCCCCTCCTTCCAGCCCCAGCCCTGGATCAATTTGAAGCAAATCCCAAACAGCACATCATTTTCTCCTGAAAGTATTTCAGTAGGCTCTCTAACAGATAAAATCTTTTTTTGGGAACATAACCACAATCCCACAATTCCAGTAATTCCTCACTATCATCAAATATCCAGTTAGTGTGTTCATAGTTCTCTTATTGTTGCATACTATGTTAATATTTTGTTTGTATGAATCAGGTTTATATATGTTCCATACATTGCAATTGGTTGATATGCCTCTTGAGACTCTTTTAATCTCTTTTTCTCTATTTCTTGCAATTTATTTGTAGAAAAAAACAGGTCATTTGATCTGTAGAATTTCCCACCTTGTAGATTTTGTTGATTGCACCTCCTCCTCTTCTGCCCTCTAATTTCTTGTAAGTTGGTAGTTGAATCTAGAATAGTGGTTCTCAGTGGGGGGCAATTTTGCCCCCCAGGGGAACTTTGTCAATGCCTGGAGACATTTTTAGTAGTCACAATGGAAGGAGATGCTACTGGAATCCAGCAGGAAGAGACCAGGGATACTACTAAACATCCTACAATACATGGGACAGATCCTTCCCCCAACAAAGAGTTATCTAGCTGAAGAGTTGATAGTGCCAAGGTTGAGAAAATGTAGAGGCATGGTCAAATTCAATTTTTGTTTTTTCCCCAACTTTTCCCAGTGGATCTAAATATTTTTATATCTTCACATTTTAGGCACTATTTGTTTGCATTACTTCAATTTGAATTATTTTTAACATATTATTTGAAATATACCATAGGTTAAAAAAAGGTTTGAGTAACATTAGAAAGGGTTCAAAAGTGCAGCTAAGATTAGCATTCACCTTGGTTCCCAGTTCAGATTATGTTTTTATTCACTCAAATATAATTATTCTCAGAAGAGTTTGATGTCTCAGTATAACTGTGATTGGGGTACAAGGCTCATTTTTTTTATACTAATCATTCCAAATTAGTCCAGCTAGCCTGCTGATATCTATTTTCTGACCTATTATGAAAGCTGAGAAAATTTAGTTTTTGTAAAATTGTGTGCAAAATTTTGAGAAAATTCATGCAAACGGCAGTAACAAGTTTTCTTCTCATATGTACAGCTATAATTAAATTTGAAAATAAAAAAGCCATCTGTCCTGGCTTTTGAAAAAAATAAAGCAACATTATTTAGAAAAAAATTGGAAAGAATATCCAATTTACAAATGGTTCAAATCTTTAAAAGTTAGTCACTGAAAAATGCATTAAAGAAATACATTTTTTACTGGAAGTAGCCTACTTTTTTTGTGAAGAGAAGAAAATTTGTGAGTCCCAATTCTGCCAGTCAACTGAAGGCAGCTTTTATGTCTTTATGTTCTATGCTCTTTTTCTGTAAAATTTCTTTTTTTTTTTCAAACAGTGAGTAATGGAATGACATGCATTTGCCGAAGGGGTGGTGGATAAAAGAGCACATTAGTCTTAAATTCTAAAAATATTTTTATCTCAAAGATTGAAAACCAGATAAAGATGAAGAATCCTATAAACTATTAACTGATTTCATGTTGAAATTATACCAAAGCCCTGTTTGTGAGCTAATGGCTCAGTTGTCTTCTCCACTTAACAAACATGAACGTTTGAGTCACCCTTTATGAAAATATGGATGGCAAACCCATATTCTAAAAATGAATAGCGTTTGTACTTTTTTATTTCTTTGGTAATAGTACACTACTTTATAAGAAATTTCCGGGAAGTATTGTAAAACTTAGGATAAAAAGATAACTTTTAAAAATGAAATATTTTATTATACATGATTAGTTGCAAAGGACAGATGATTAGTTGTGAAGGACAGAAACTAACTCAAAGTAGGTTAAATAAATGAACGATTTTTCCTCATGCACCTGAAAAATCCATGGAAAATGAGGTTGATAGACCCTGCAAGTGGTTTGCTTCCCTCTACAACCACTTTTTTCCTTGCTGGGAGGGCCTATCTTTCACTGTGGAGGTGAAAAATAACAGATCTGCACTTACACAGCCTCCCTTGCAGCTAGGGTATGGTCAGGTGACCCAGTCCTGTTCCATAACACATAAGGAGAAGTCAACCTGGGACCCTTGGAAAAGATTTTCCTTCCTGATAAAAAGAGAGAGGCCTTGAGGAGAATCCACTTTTCTTTCCTGTCCTTGGTCATGGTTGTATGAGGATGTGACGCTGAAGTGGTTGGACAAGAGGTGTAGGCCAAGAGCCCTGATTTGACCTACCAAATCAGTGCTGGAACAATCTACCCCTGAAGTCTTTGTAATATGAGGAAAAGGAATGCTCATTTTAATGGAATGTTTTCTTATTTGTAGCTAAGGACATTCTAATTGATAGCACTGATATTGGGCATGCCTAGGCTCAGAAGCTTACCAAATCTTCATCTGTTTTTCTCACAACTCTGTTTTTCTCAGTGTTGGCTTCACTATCAGGCTCCAGGTAATGGCCCCGGGAAGGTTCAAACTAAAATCAAATTTACTGAGAGCAGTTTTAGCATCAGGAGACCTTCCTCCCAAAGAGTTCCAAGAGCAGTCCTGGGATTTAGTCAGATTCATCTGACTTGAGTTGTATAGTCTTCCCTGCAACAACGTCTCTAGCCAAGGGTGTGAAATATAGTGATCAGGTTTCCTGAGCACCCCCAGAGCTGAGAGTGGGGTCCATCTTACCCAAACCACACAGGGAGTAGAGCGTTTCCCAATATCATTAACTGAAAAATGGAAGTGTATGCTTTGTCTAAACAAAGCAACAAACAGATCCAGATATTCAGTGCAATAATAAAATAAATGTTTACTTTGCCTAAGTACAGACCATATAATGAAAAGTGTAGTCTTCAAAACAAGGAGACTGATTCTATGGATTGAATCTTTTAAAGACATAGATCTTTAAGTGCCTGATGTAGCCGGAGTATCATGTAGGTGCGGAGAATACAGAGATTCAGACACGCAGGACCTGTCCTCCCAGTCTAATGAGAGAGAGAGAGGGAAATCAGTGATTACAACATAGCAGACAAATGCCATGTGCACTGTGTCATGGTTTTGCAAAGGAATGGCAGAGGAGGGACATCTAACTCGGTTTAGGGTTGAGGGGAAAGTTTCTACAAGACTTTCGAACATTGAAGAAGACGATAACTGAGGTTTAGACAGTTGATGTGGTGAGAACGTCATGAGCAAAATCAGAGAGACTGGTGAACTGTTCGTACATTTGGCTAATTCCAGGCTACTTTCAACTCTGCCAGTGGCCTTGGACAAGTTTTCTAGCTTCTCTGTTTTCTCATCAGTAAATAAACAGGGGAGTAAGGAAAGGGTGGCTAGGGTAGAGCTTCTCTGAGACTCTACAGATTTTAAATCTGATTATTCTATTATAACTCCTTGTTCCAAATATCTCCAATTGATGTGACAAAGGCCTAAAAATAAAGT